CGGCCGAAGCCGTTGGCCGCCGCCTCATCTCCGGGGAAACGCTCGACCATCGGGAAAGGGGAGGGAGATGGAGGGGCTGGGCAGCGGCACACGGGAGAGGGAGGGCTGGGGGAGAAGAGCTCGGCGACGGCGATCGAGAGAAGTAGCGCTCATCAGAGGCGAGCGAGGCCATATATAGCCACGCCGCGTCCGTGTGTACGCGTCCGAGGGAGGGGAGCCGTCGGCGCGCCGCCCCGTGACGCGCCGCCCGTGAGGAATCAATGGCAAAGCTGACCGGCGACAGCCTTGCCATTGATTCCCCGTGGGAAACCGAGGCGTCGGGAGAAGATGAGGCGGGCGGTGTCACTGACGCGGCTGGCCCCCAAAACGATTCGCCCGACGCCCCCGAGCGCCCCCCAGCGCGCTGGTTTCGGGTTGGGTCCGCCGGCGTCAATTTCGGCTCGAGCCGGCGAAAAATGGGCCCCTAGGGCGCGTCTGGGCCGATTTTTTGGCACCGGCGGCCGAAAAGTCGTCTGGAAGGCCTTGTTGGGGCGCGGCTGGAGATACTCTTATAATCTCTCTCAATATGCACACATCCAAACTCTCTATAACATACGACCTCATAAATCACACTAATTATATACCCCGCAAAAAATCACACTTACTATATTTCTCTAAACATGCATGGGAAATACTATGTAAGCGTACTAGACATTTCCCGCATCTCTTTGAAGGAGCCAAGACAATCCTAGCGAAGGAAAAATAAGTCAACCGCCTCCACGAACAACCCCAAAGCCCGAAAACAAGGTGGCCAAATCTGGTTGGCCTTCATGCCGAGTCTTCCTCCGCCGTCAACTCGACACCGTGGTAACCAACAGCCAGCTAGAGAGAGAGAGAGTGCGCTTATTCTCGAGAGAAGATTGGCGCAACGAAACATGCGGTCCCCTATGTACGTAGACTCACGGCACACGGCTAGATCACATGCTGGGCATATTTAGGACTGTTTGAGAGGAAAAAAAAAGAAATAAGCCAGTCTTCTCACCGCACAGTAACCACCCCTGAGATTCCTGAAAAAAAATAACCACCCCTGTCTGTTCAAAAAAATAAAATCAGCCACTCTTCTCACCGCATAGGTGCATCAGTCACTTCCCCTCACCGCACAGCAGCCGCTCACCAAGTTGGTTCTCCCCACCACGGCGTCCCTCCGCCGCTTCCTCTCCCCGCCAGCCGTCACGGCCTCGCCCTGCCCCGCTTCGACCTCGCCCCGCCCCGCCACGGCCTCGCCCCGCCGTGTCCTCTCCCCACCATAGCGAACATCGCCAGTATCCCCTAGACCGACGCTGCCGCCGGCGTCCATCCTCGGTGACGATGGCTCGGTGCAGCTCCTGTCCAAGGCGGCCGCAGAAAATATCATCAAGCATTGGACTGTCAGTTCGAGCATCTTCAATAGACGATGTATATTTTGGTGCTCCAAACCGGTGATGGTCCAAATTTGGAGTACCAAAAAATGCTTTTAACATCTCCGAAAAAGGCTCAACTCCAACATGATCCAAAATGGAGATGTAAATAAAAGAGCAACTCCAACAGATGGTCCAAAACAAAGATTAAAACGACCAACTACTACTTCATCTCAACATAGTTCAAACATGAAATTCAACATAGTTTCATACATAAATTAAACTACTACCTATTCGAACTACCAGATGAAACTACTCCTCGTCGTCGGAGCTGCGGAACTGCTCTCAAAACTCGTCCTTGGCCGGGTCATCGCACCCCTCGTCCTCCTCCTCAGAGTCACCCCAGTCCTCATCCGACGACTCGATATGGATCATAGTCGAGGGGCCGGCCTCGTCCTCCTTCTTCACCCCCTTCTTTTTCGTCTCGACGTCGCGCTTCCAGTAGTGCTCAAGCTCGGCCTGGACGTACTGTGGATGCTCTCGCGCAAACCGAGCCATCGCCGCCTCGTCACTCTCGCCGGGAGCGACGAAAACCCCCGGTCTCTTCTTCGCCTTCTTCACCGGCATCTCCTCCATCCGGATGCCCTGCGGCATGAGCCACTCCGCCACCGTCTGGGTCTCGACTTCCAAGATGTTGAGGTCTGACTTCGGCCATCCGGCACGCCACACCGCCACATCGTAGTCACGTGAGGCCTCATCCGCGGTGCGTGCCGAGACACCAACACCGCTTGGCGTCGGAGAACTCCACTCCGAACTTTTCGTAGGGCTTCTCCCTCACGCCGAAGAAAACGGACTTGCCCTTCGGCGTTTTCTTCGGTGCCACCAGGGAGCGGGCGGCGGCGGCGTGCGGCGCGGGGCGGAGGCGGATGGAGCGGGGCGGCGGACGGACCGGAGGCGGAGGCGGCCGGAGCGGGGCTGGGCAGAGGACGGACCGGAGGCTGAGGCGGCCAGAGA